TATTTGTGCAGTGTCTTCCTTCTCCAAACCCTGGATGGGGGAGCAAAGAGTTGGAAATTGGAAAGCTACTCAAAAGCTGCCTATGACAGACATGGTGAGACTGAAGAAATGGGTACCCTAACTGGGAGAAACTATTAATGACCAGAATCTTCTGCCCTCTGGATTTCCTTTATATAGCTCAAGATTTAGTGGAAAGAGTCCTTTAATGTCACCAAGGTGGGTTCCATTAGAGTTGACAGAAACAACAAATGTGCACCATGTTGGTAGAGATGCTCTTGTGGGAAGTCAACACTAAATGCCATTTTGCTTAGACCTAGGACCCCCGAATAGAATAGGCCCCCCATAGTTTCCTAGGAATGCAGTAAACAAATCTATGATGCTTGTTGAATAATCTTCCAATAATTGCAGTCATTAAAATCATCACACAGTCTACTGTCACCTTCCTTCCTTTGACACACCAGTCTTTCCTTTAATTGTTAATGCCTTTTTGGCTCAGATAAACAGATCAAGGAAAGCTTAAAATATATTGCCCAGGTACATCTAGCAGCAGAAAATTAGTTGTGTAGCAAACATTTGGACTTAATAGACTAGGGATTTTCAATTTCTCTAGCAGATCTTACAGAGACAGTGAAGATTTGCATCTGCTACCACCTCTAAATCTTAGTGATGCCTCTGAGATAGAAAAAAAAAAGTCTAATTGGCCTATTGATTCTCCTTTTCTCTTTTTTTTTGTTTTTTTTTTTTTTTTTTTGGCAATAGTTTGGCTAAGATGGGCTGGAGCATTATAGAACAAATACTAAATGAAAGCTCAGCAGAAAATTATGGGAGAGTTCCTCTATTTTCAATTAATTTTCTTGATCCATTTGATCTCAGTCTCTGGTGCCTTTAAAGATATAAATATATAAAAGATTCCCTTCTAATCAAAGGCTACATTTCATTTTCACTCACTCTGACAAACTCCAACTGTGGAAAAGATTCATGGGCTCAACAGGCGTTAAGGTTTATACTGGCCTTCCTTCTCCTTGCTCATAGCAGATGACAGTGGCACATAAGCAGCTCTTGTTATTATTTTTTAGAACTCAAGTTATTAATATATCTTCCCAACTCCCATGCGGTGCTGACCTGATGATCACTGCTCTCGTGTAGATCATGCAAATGAAAAGCATGATTAATTGCACAAATGCTTTAAAAAAAAAAAAAAGGAGCTCTGTGGCTCAGCAAATAAATAAACAAATGATAAAGAAATAAGGCAGGTTGGAAGACAGGTCAGATAAAACCTTTCTATGGACTCCTCTCCCTCTTACCCCACCCCCATACCCTCAATCCTGGTTCTGATGGGCCAAGCTTCTGCAGCCAGATCAACCAATTTGAGAACCTTTGCTTCCTCCTCTCCCACCCAACTCCACACCATTCCACCCCAGTGCTGTGTTATCCTCTACGAAACTCTGCCGGATCAAAGCTGCCAGGAGACTGGGCAGCCACTTAATATTTACCCAGCTACAAGATCGAGGAGTTCAGACAATAACTGGTCTTCCGGGTCGCCACCCTGCTTGGTGCATCTGGGAGAGGCGTTTTATCTGTGGCATTGGAGCTCCAATCCTTCCACCGCGCTAATGACGGAATTGTTTCTCAGCTTTGCCTCCTAAACACTGCAACTTGAGCAGTTGCTCAGATCAAAGCTTTCGGGAGAAGCAAGATGGGAGAAACAATATTTGTTCAAAGGAAGTGAACTCTTCCCTTTAATTACCCTATTCTTCTTTATTAGGATTCATATTGAATTTTTTGCGAAAAATTATGTTGATTTAACCATAGTGTATTTACGATGTAAATATATTCCAAGATGAAAACGTGACGGATCAATTGTAAAGGACCCGGATACATAATTTTAAAAAATCAGTTTCAGTGTATATGAGGTTCTCACCCCACTTTCTCTGCTCAGTCAGATTTGTTTATGCAGAATCGACATTTAATAGTGCTAATTGCACTCCAGTTAAATTGCCCTGATTGCAGAAAGGGAAGCAATTTTCGTGCTCTCTGTCTGGGTTTGGAAGAAATTGTTTTATATTCACCTCTTTATAAAGAAGTGGAGATAAGGCACCGGGGCCTTTGCACAAATTGCACTTAGGGGCTGACTGGCAGCATTCAGGCGCTATAATAGAGCATTATTTGGCCGTTTTGAATAATGTAAAGCGTTTGCTGAAAGCTATTCTCCTGAAAATTGCTTTAACTTTTAAAAGGGTGATGATTCACTCCAAACCAGGCCTTTGTTACATTGTCATTATTTCCCCAAATGTTTTAACAGTCAGCTCAACACTTTAGCATAACACATTGATCTTTGTTTAAAAACTAGATTTTTTAGAGGATGAAAAAAAAAAAATCTGTCAAACGAAAAAAAAAAAACTGGACTTCCTCCGAAAGATTTCCTTGGGGGCCCACCTTAGAGTTGAAGCAGCCCGGGTGTTTGCCTATGTTCATTTGGAAGATTTTCCTAACTTTTGTTGTGATGCTGATGCGTGTGTCTAAAGGAATATGCGAATGCCCACGTCGAGAGTCTGACAGCTTGAACTAGGTGGAAAACGAGGGAGGGGAGACAGGGAAAGAGACCAGCCGGGGTGGCTTGAAAATGTCACCAGTGCAAAGTGGCTTTTTTTGGATTGTCTTATTTATGACTTTGTCAGCTTTCCTTTAGGAGAGGGTGTGTTGGGGGTGGGGGAGGAGGAGGACGGGAGGACCTCAGCACTTCCCCTCCCGGGGCTGCTCGGGGTGAGTCGGAAACGCCTGGCTGCCACTTAACAATCCCCCTACTAGTAAATCGACGCGGAGACTCTACAGGAAGCCGAGGACTAGTCTCCCGTTCCAGGGCAGAAGTCACCTGTTGGGAATGGTTCCTGGGTCCCCCTGCCGGGCTTTCTGGCTCTTCCAAGCTTCCTGATTTCCCTTCAACCTTCCACCTTACATCTTAGTGGTTTTACACACACACACACACACACACACACACACACATGCCACACCGATATCCATCCTACTCTCAGCTTCTTTACAGCTGTAAGGGTTTTCTATTTATCTCTTATACTTTCCTCCGGGATTTACCTTGAAGCGTTTTAAAAAGATATTCTGACCCCAAGTATTACATCGAAAAGCAAAGGAGGCCACCCCGTAAGCCTCCCCATCCACCAGGTGCCCCGGGATGCACGCAGGCTCCATCTTAGCGCCGAAGGAACTGCTCTGGTGGTGGTACTTTGAGGCTAAGAGATCTTGCAGAAGAGAAGCGAAAACACATCCCACATCCTCCACGTTCTCCTCACTTGCTCCCCCTTCGCGACTTATCTCTAGCACCCGAACGTTTGGAGTTGGTGGTTATTTTTTTGAAGCTCAAGATGTGGGTCTGCAGGGGGGGGGGCTACATTAAAACCAGTACCCAGATCTGCCCATGGACACTGTTGTTTCTAGTTCAAAAGCCTCTGGCTACCCTGGAGAAGAAAGAGAAAGTGGAAAGCCCAGCAAGATGGGGAAATAGCTTAGCTTTTGCACGCGCCACGTGTGTGTGTGTGTGTGTGTGTGTGTGTGTGTGTGTGCAGCTCTTTTGGCACCAAGGTCCGGAGAGGACTTCAGGATGCTTCCAGCATGCAGGCGCCCACGTGTGGCCTGGTCCTCGCCCAGCGGGGTGACTGCCCTGCCGAAGAAGGACTCGTCCACACGTCTGAGAAAAGGCAGGGTGCAGAGGCTGAACCGATCTCCTAACCCCACGCCCTTGTCCTGCAGACGAGCCTGTAGGCCCTGGCGGTCCCGGGTAGGGGTGGGTTGGAGCTGGGGCAAGGCAAATTACTCCAACCCTCCTCTAAAACTCGACTCCAGGCTGCAACACGACATGCAAATCATCGCCGGGTTAAACAAACAGCCGAGCGATCTGCAGCTTCAGCGGGGGTGGCGGTGGGGGCGGACTTCGCTCGCGCCGGTCTCTGTTTCCAAAGTTGTTACAATGTGAAAATAAGCGGCTTCGTGCAGCTTGTTGTATGGGCTGATGCCTCCCACCCCCACGCCAGCCCCCAGTAAAACCTGGCAGATAATCAGCACGTCCCACTGTTTAGTCATATTTGACAACTGGGTTAACCTGGTATCTAGGCGCTGGCGAATCTGTACAAAGGGTGCCCTCAATTACCACCAGAAGCTTCTGGCGTGAGTGGCACTTGTATTACCCCCCGGGTCAGAGGCCAGAGCGACAATTAGGAAGTCACTTGGACCGCTGGAAGGAAATGGCGGGATGCAGCAGGCCCTCCCAACAAGTCTGTGGGTGTAGACCTGGAGAGAGAGGCCTATTTGTCTCCTCTCCAAGGAGCTGTCCTTTCCTGCCCTCTCTTCTATGTGACTCCGAGAGTAAAACTGACTCCAGTGGGAATAAGAAACTTGGTAGCACAACATCGGCAGGCAATGGTAAGATCACGAGCGGGAATTGGTGGCTACAAGCTGAAGTTGGGCTCCGCAGGCAAGCGCCTGGACACACAAAGTGAGCGTTGACATTTCCTTCTCCACTGGAGCCCTCCGCCTCCGCGCCCCCTCCCCTCCGGCCTCCTTTCCCACAAGTGGTGAGTTGAGTAGGACTGTGAGCCCTAACTTGTAACATCTTGGGATGGCTCCGGGGGGCTTGTAGCTCTGTCGCAACGGTACTTAAACCTGGCTTGGTGCGTGAATGTGTGTAAATTTTTAATTGCACTGTAATTTCTTCTGTCCCCAACCCGCCCTCCCCACCCCCCCCCCCCCGCCCTCGCCCACAGACTTGACTGGCACGCGCCGGGAGCCCGGGCTCGGGCCCCTCGGCGCGTCTGATTGGCTGCAGGGCAGCTCCCGTCTGCTCTGCCTGCGCCCTCATTGGGCGAGAGGCGCAGCCAGCGGCACTTCAAAGCGGGTGCTCCTCGCACTTAGGTTGAGTTTAGCCGGCGGGAGCCCGGAGTCCGCTTGGCGCGAGCGCGGGACACGGGAGCCGCGCGGGACCCGAGCAGTCTTTCCCACTAGCCGCTAGGCTCAACACGGCTCCCGGCCCCGCCGCACAGTCCAGAGACCTGCTATGGCCACGTCTATCCTGGGGGTAAGTCGCAGGCGAGGCGCGTTTGTTTTTTGTTTTTTTTTTTTTAAACAACTATTTTTTTCGTGATGGCTTCTCTGGGTCCGTGGCTCCCAAGGAACTGTTGCTGGACTGCAGATCCAGCTTCCTTTAAGCACTTTCCACATATCCGGGGCGGATTCTTTCCAAGTTAATTGGAACTCGGGACATGCTTTTGCATCTTTTGCATTTTTTATTTGGTTTTGGAGAAAAAAAAAGGTTGGAGGTTTCCCCTCCTCGTGATTTACACCCCATCCTCCCGCCCCACCCGCCAAGCTTTGCTTTGAGGATTGTTGCAATTACACGGCAGTGGTATTTCCAGAAAAGTCTTGATCGTTTTGCAGTCCACGTAGTCAGGGTAATAAACATTTGCATTTTCTCGGTTCCCCTGTTCGTCCGTGACTTTGAAAACCGTTGCTGGATCGCTTATCCCCGGATTGTTTCTGTAATCGATGTGTGCTTGTGTGCAGATATCAAAGCCAGAGTTTTCTATTTCAAAACAGTCAAGACGTAACCCGCCCTTGAGAGGGTGTTCCAAGTTTCGAGGGTCCCCCAGGCCGCTGCTCGGGCTCCCTCCGCCCTCACCCGGGGTTTGTTGTCTGTTTACCTTCTTGCTTCACCCGGAAGGGCGACTTGGGGACTTCTGGGAGAGAATCGGGTTTCTGGCGACAACCCCGGTCCGCTTGTAGGCTGGGGTTGCCGCGACTTCGGCGGAGAAAGCCCAGGCAGTCATCTTTGATTTGTAACCTCCCCGAAGAACAACTTTGCCGAGCCGGGACCTTCGCACCGGCGGTCGCCGCTGCCCCAGGCGGGGTGCAGCGCTTGGGGAGGAGGCGCGAGCCGGGGGTGCCACGGGTCCCCGGGCCCAGGCGCTGGGGGACGAGGCTGCTCACGGGTGCACTTTATGTCTCCCCCCCCCACCACTTCCTCCTGTCCTCCTCCTCCACCTCCTCCTCCTCCTTGCTCCCTCCCTCTCCCTTCCCCCTCACCCCCCAACTTTAGGAAGAGCCGCGCTTCGGAACGACCCCGTTGGCCATGCTGGCGGCGACGTGCAACAAGATCGGCAACACGAGCCCGCTGACCACGCTGCCTGAGTCGAGCGCCTTCGCCAAGGGCGGCTTCCACCCCTGGAAGCGCTCCTCTTCCAGCTGCAATCTTGGCTCCAGCCTCTCGGGGTTCGCGGTGGCCACGGGCGGCCGCGGCTCGGCGGGCCTGGCGGGCGGCTCGGGCGCCGCCAACAGCGCTTTCTGCCTGGCGTCCACGTCGCCCACGTCGTCCGCCTTCAGCAGCGACTACGGCGGCCTCTTCTCCAACTCGGCGGCGGCCGCGGCGGCGGCGGCGGGGGTGTCCCCGCAGGAGGCGGGCGGTCAGTCGGCCTTCATCTCCAAGGTGCACTCGACGGCGGCCGACGGCCTGTACCCGCGCGTGGGCATGGCGCACCCGTACGAATCGTGGTACAAGTCAGGCTTCCACTCGACGCTGGCGGCGGGCGAGGTGACCAACGGCGCCGCGTCGTCGTGGTGGGACGTGCACAGCAGCCCCGGCTCGTGGCTGGAGGTGCAGAACCCCGCCGGGGGGCTGCAGAGCTCGCTGCACTCGGGCGCCCCCCAGGCCTCGCTGCACTCGCAGCTGGGCACCTACAACCCCGACTTCAGCTCGCTCACGCACTCGGCCTTCAGCTCCACCGGCCTCGGCTCGTCGGCCGCCGCCGCCTCGCACCTGCTCTCCACCAGCCAGCACCTGCTGGCCCAGGACGGCTTCAAGCCGGTGCTGCCCTCCTACTCGGACTCGAGCGCCGCCGTGGCGGCCGCCGCCGCCAGTGCCATGATCTCGGGCGCCGCGGCCGCCGCCGCCGGGGGGACTTCGGCGCGCTCCGCCCGCCGCTACTCGGGCCGCGCCACCTGCGACTGCCCCAACTGCCAGGAGGCCGAGCGGCTGGGCCCGGCCGGGGCGAGCCTGCGGCGCAAGGGCCTGCACAGCTGCCACATCCCGGGCTGCGGCAAGGTGTACGGCAAGACGTCGCACCTGAAGGCGCACCTGCGCTGGCACACGGGCGAGCGGCCCTTCGTGTGCAACTGGCTCTTCTGCGGGAAGCGCTTCACGCGCTCGGACGAGCTGCAGCGGCACCTGCGGACTCACACGGGCGAGAAGCGCTTCGCCTGTCCGGTGTGCAACAAGCGCTTCATGCGCAGCGACCACCTGAGCAAACACATTAAGACGCACAACGGGGGCGGCGGGGGCAAAAAGGGCAGCGACAGCGACACGGACGCCAGCAACCTGGAGACGCCCCGCTCGGAGTCCCCCGACCTCATCCTGCACGACTCCGGCGTCAGCGCGGCCCGGGCGGCGGCGGCGGCGGCGGCGGCGGCGGCCGCGGCGGCGGCGGCGGCGGCGGCGGCCTCGGCGGGAGGCAAGGAGGCGGCGAGTGGCCCCAACGACTCTTAGAGGCCGGAGGAGAGGCGCGAGCGAGCGAGAGGTTCGAAGGGCGAGCGGCGAGCGGGGGCGCCGGAGGGCGGGGACGCTTAGGGACGACCCCCCCCCCGTCTCCCCCGCACCCCATCTGGGCGCGAGGTGCAGCCTCCTGGGGCTCCCCTTGGTCGTCTACGCCCAGATGAGAATCGAACGCTTGGTCCAGAGATAACAAAAGCGAACCGTCCTCCGAGGCAGACACTTTTAGAACCGCACACAGCCACCTACCCACCCCACTCACCCCGGAGAGCCACAACCGCAAGCACTCACGCGCGCGCACGTCCGCTCCACTCGCACAAACTTCGCCAGCGAAGAGCAATACACGGAATCGCTCCCTCCCCCACGCCCACCCCTCCAGTGTCCTCTGGCCTTTTCTCCAAAACTAGCCACTACCACCCAACCACTCCGCAGAGGACTGTCAGAACAGTTGAAAATGAACGGGACCTAGAAAACAGACCCTTTGTGTGGATTATATATAAAATGCTCCAAGTCCTGCTTGATATCTACTTGCAATGAGACTTTTCCCCCCTAAAAACAAACAAACAAACAAAAAAAGGAAACATCAAAAAAGGCTTAAGGTGAGAAATTAAACTGGAAGTCTAGCGACAGTTTCTCTGTATTTCATAACATCTGTATAAATAGGGTTCAAAAGATTGTGTTCTCTTTTTATTTTCTTGTAAATGTTCATTCAAATAGGTTTTTTGGTGAATTCCTGAAATTCAGGGAGTTTTTTTTTTAATTTTCTGATGCACTTTGTGAAAGTCAGTATATATGTAAAAGATATTTAAGATGTTGAGTTATCATTTCACTCAAACACGTAAGTTAAGGTCATCTAAAGAAATTAAATGCGTTTATCTGTATGAAGAAAATCTTGACATCATATTTTTCATTTTGGTATTATTAAAGGACTCGGAACAATACATTCACCCCCCCCTTTTAAAAATCCTGCTCCCCCCTCGATAATATTTATGTGGGGTCGACTTTTTTTTTGATTGGGAAACAATTTCCTTAATGTTAGTTGTAGGTAATGTAAAGTTTATGTGGGTTATAAAAGCCATAATACATATACATTTTTGAGAAGTCAAAATTATTTATTTGTATATCAACAACGTAAATTAAATTGGGTTATAAGAATGTGTAGTTGTATTACTTAATGGGAGGTCTCTCAAAAGGTGACGTCTTAAATCTTGGACCACCTAAAAGAAGGAAAGACCCTTAGCAGCATTAACAAGGAAGGTGTCTACATCTCCCCGAGGGACTAGAAAACTCCGGTTGGGTTTGTTTTTAAGAAGTGATTTTAAAGCAATCAGTTAAAGAGGAAAAGGCTTAAAAAAAAAAAAAAAGTAGTCTTTGAGCTCCCAAGACTCTCTATGTTGGGAGGTGTCTCAAGGGAATAAATCGCTAGAGTCAATACCCCGGAAAAGACATTTCATGCCTAAATGAAAATCTTGTTAAATGTTATTAATTTTGACTTAGAGCACACAGCAGCCCCCTGTGCCTTGTATTCCCTTATTAGGGATTCATGTCTTATCAAATATCTAATTAATCTCCTAGACATCATTTGTTCTGGCCAACTTTATCTCAGCTGGTCCACGGGGAAAACTCCAAATATTCTCTGTGACAAAGCTCCCTTGAAGATCTTTTTAATTGTCTAAATTAACTGCACCAAATTTGCATGTCAAACGGTAAAGGGCAACCTGAGATAAAATGTAAACGTTTTAAAAGCCCCCAAACTAAGCACTTGATTTGATAACTAGGCTTTTTAATGTTATGGAAGACAACTGCTCCTTTCCTTTTCAAAGACGGCTGATCTATGCAAATAGTGAATTGGAAATGCCTGGGTCCCCGCGCCGTCAAATGGCCCTCGCAGGTTATTTGAATATCAGTGGCTCTGCTTCTGAAAAGGTTCAAGGATGCTCTCTGACTTCTTTGTGATTACTCAGTGCGGCGTCTTATTCTGAAGAAAAAAAAACTCAGGAATAATTAAAGGCTGGGATCAGGCCTGGGAACACATTTGGGACAGGAATCTCATTTAGACAGTCTCTTTCAAAATAAGGCACAGTTAAATTGACCAGAAGGCAATTATTGAAATGAAAATTATTTTCACTCTCTTTGTCTTCTGACCACCAACTTAACAGCCCTAGTTTAAAAGGGGGAAAAGGGAGGAGAGGCGAAAGGAAAATTGGTAAACGAGACAATTTCGCAATTTGAAAAAAAAATGTTCATTTGGAAAATAAAGTACCTATTTAGAGACTAGAAATACTTCTAAAAGGCTTCCACACACTGGGACATACAAGCAAAGTCAGCACCAACAAGATTTATTATTATTATTATTATTACTGTCCTTCTTGGAAACTTGAATGAGGGTTTTGACGGCTAGGAAGGAATACATAAATTATTGCTATTAGCAGTCAACAAAACTCTGCTTTGAAAAGCCAAGTAGCAAAGTAACAAATCTCTTCAGCTGGGCGTTTGGCAGTGTGAGGCTCGGCGGCGTCTGCCCTCTGCTCCTGGCGCTCCAGGCAGCCTCGACTGTCGCATCTTTTCGTCCACTTTCTCTGTCCTTTGGTCACCCCCCCCCCCCAACCCATCCCCACCCCACACTCTCCCTGGGTCCCCCAAGCGTCTTGGATTCGGGTGTGATCTTTGGGGTGGAGGGAGGTGGCGGGGTGCGTTTTCTCCGGTGGTTTGGCGGGTCCAGAGGGCGCTTGGCGTTTGGGGGGCCGCAGGCTGGCCGCTCGGAGGTGAGGGTGTTGGAGGGGTTCCTGAGGAATGAGGGCGCGCGGCCGCCGGGCCCAGGGAGCTTTGTTTCTGATGGATAATAAAGGCAGATCAAAGGGCCTGGCCTCGCAGGTCCCGCTGGCCGCGCGGTTCCCTCCGCAGGCCAGTGATCAAGGCCTGTGTGCGCTGCCTCTGCCCCGCGGGTCAGCCGATGTCCATCACGGCGGCTCCCGGGAGCCGCGGGCGGCCGCCCAGCCCGAGCGCCCGGGCCCGAGCGCCGAGAGCGCGCGGCTGATCCGAGAGGGAGCGGGCGGAAAGCAACCTGGGAAAGCAGACCCCAGCTCCACTGCCCCGGTCCTCTCTGCCACCCCTGCACGCCCTGGGGCACCGGGAACCTTGACACCAGCGGCGGTGCGGGCGTCGACAAATTCGAGGCCCCTTGAGCGAGCGAGTGGCACAGTGGGGTCCCCCGCGGAGGTGGGGGCCGTGCCTCCCCAGGGCCACCTCGGGGCCCCGACGGCCTGGGCTTGTCCAGCTCCGGGCCTGGGGGGAGGCGGAGGTCGCGACAGGGTCCCCTGCGGCGGATGAGGGCCGAGACCCGGAGGTCGGGTGGAGCTGCAGGCCGCGGTCTGCGACCCCACGCCTCGCTCCAGCCCGGGTGAGGGGGAAATAAGATTTCGTTTCAGCGGGTTTCTAGGGGTTTTCTGTTCTCAGCTTCTTGGGCCAAGGAGGAACCCACACCAAGTTTTCCTGGGCCTGAAGCCTACCCAGCGTCGATCCCCCCCCCCCCCCAGTCCCCGCTCCCCCAGCGCTTTCCTTCCCGGGCGTGACGTCCCCCACCCCCTCCCTTGGAGTGAACCGGATGCTACCTGGTCGGGAAGAGAGAAAAGAAGGATTCTTTTTTTCTTTCCTCAAGAAGGGAAAACATTATTTTGACGAGATTAGATTGTGCACCTGAATAGCGTGTCTGGACATTCCGTCAAATCGTTGCAAGTCGTGCAAAATTGAATTTCTTTTTATTCAGATGGAAACTTTATTTATTTTAACTCTAATCTTATTTGCATCTATTATCTGTATTCACCAAGGCTCTCTTCCACTACAAAAATGCAGATGAAGTAAATCTCACATAAATCCCGCCCATTTGTGTAATTGGTATACTAAGTGTTTATTTTAAGTGAGAATAATTTAGCTACAAATTTTCTTAAGGAATAACATTCTTAACACATTAAAAAAAACTGAAAACTCTGATTTGCTTTTATGTTTGACAGTAGCTCTTGATTCCTTTAAGAGGAGCGCGGCGAGTGCGGCTCGCTGGCGCCATCTAGAGCTCGGAAACGAGAGGACCGCGCCGTGTGCCCTGAACTTGGCTACTCGCGCGCAGGGACCAGCTTTTTGCCGCGAACTGTAGCAACCCAGTGAATCAAGGAAAAAAAGCGAGGTTTTGTGTTCCTGCGGGGGCACGGACCCCGCTACTAAAGGGTACCGCTTAGCAGCGACTCCCAAGAAAGGGGAAAGTTCTTGGAGCGTGCTAACTGAAAAGTCCAAGCAAAATAACGCCTCTCTTGGCTCTGGTCTTAGCATTGTTGCATTTAGCATCCTTTTCAAGGAAACGTCATTCTTCCACTTCCCCGGGATGAGAACGCTGAGTTCTGGAGCCAGTGACGTGGCCCTAGCGGTGGGCACGGCAGCCCCATCCACTTCGCCCATGACTAAAGATCCAGTGACTTCTGGCTGGTGGGAGACCCCATTTGCTCTAGCTAGGGATGGCCGAACTGCAGCTGATTAAAACAGGCCACCAAGACTGCGCCACGTCCCCAGACCCCCGTGGATGGGAAGAGAAGGCCAGGGACCAAAGCCTTTGGCCAGCCAGAACCTGGAAACGGCAGCAGCAGCCTTCCGCTTCGCTGCGATCATTCGGGCAGCCACCACGGGCCAAGTCGCGCCCAGGGGGCGTCGGGGCGGGCGGAGGCCCAACGGGATAAACGGGGCCCCCAAGAGAGCAGCGGGAAGACTCTCAGAATCATCGCCCGGAGCCCTCCGGAAGGGTAGCTCACACTCCCCGAGCAGGCCCACCCCTTTTGTCCTCGCATTTTCCTTTGAAACCCAAATCTAAAATCAGATAACAGTTGGGGGCGTTGGCCAATTTTCTCTCCTCGGTGCCTCGCCCTCCCCCCGCCGCCCCTTTCCCTCCTCTTCCCAGTCCACGACCCCACCCCCATGGCTGTCCTCAGCCGTGGTGCACGGATCCCCTCCCCTCCCCCTCCGCGCAGTTATTGTATTT